CACCGTGACGTCACGCGAGGGATCCCTATTTAAACGCCCGCCCGCCCGCCGCTTCTCGCGGTACTGCAGCGGCAATCGGAGGGTCTCGTCGTCTGTGCGGAAGCTTCGCTCCCAGGTACGGAAGCGCGCCGGCCAGCGGGGTAGGCGGGCGGGCGGGCGCCGGACGGCCGAGGCGTTCAGTTTGGGGCAGAGGCAAACCTTGGCGGCGCCTAGAAACTCTCTCGAGTTGGCGCAAACTTTCGTGACGCGCAACCTGATCCGATGCAACCAAAGTTTCTGCGGAGAAAACTTGTTTTGCCTTTAAGGGGTTGCGAGAGTTCTCTTTTCTTTCTGCTGCGAGCGCTTAAAACAGATGCGCCCCCCCTCCCCGAAATGCTAGCTTTGTAGGGAGCCCCTGGATGATCGCGGGCATGCGTGCGCGCACGTACGCACGGGCGAGGCTGAAGGTGCCCACGATCCTCTCGGGTGGAAGGGTGGTTTGTTGGAGGATGCAAATGGGAGAGGATTCCTACCCAGCCCCGCCGCCTCTCCTGTTACTCGAGTATTTTTTTGCGGAGGAGAACCGGCGGACGGAATACTTTTGTTGACCCCGTTGGTTATGTAACGGGGGGAGGCGGAGGCGATTGCCCCGAGTGATGCTCTCTGTGTGGGGATCAAGGGAATCCGCTGGGCCCTGAATAAACTTGATGGGGCTGGAAAGAGAGGGCTTGGGGGACTCTAGGGCGGGAGGCGTCTTGGATGGTCCAGGGCAGAATTCTGGAGGGAGGGGGAGAGAAAAAGCTACTGACTGGGCTCTGCGGGATGAGGCTTAGTTCTCTTTTAAGTAAGCGGATGATGAACTCAAAACAGCCCTGATTACAGCCCTTCCGAAGACCTGTGGAGCCCTCTTTCCTAACTTGCGCCTCCAGAGGCGCCGGTGCCGCTCCCATCATTTGGGAATGATGAGAGCGACCGTCCAGGGCCTCTGGGGGGTCCCAAGTTCGGAAAGAGGGTTTCACGGGGCTGTTCAAGGGCAAACACAGCGTTGGGTTAGGGTTGGCCCCGATGCCTTAGCTCTGGGCTTCTTCGGTGTTGCAACATCCTCTTTCGTGGTTGCCGCTGTTTTCGGAAACCGTTGGCGCTCAGTCATCATCGCCTTCCCTGAAAGGCTCCAGCCGGGCGTCGAAGATCGCAGCCTAGCGCCACGGTGCAGGTTTTTTTTTCTTGCTGGCCCTCTGCCTCTCCCTCCCTCCCTCCTGGGACTGGAGAGGGATGGCGGGGGCGCTCAGTATCCACGATGCTGCGGCGAGAGCCCTCTGGCAGCCTGAAGGCCGCCGCTCACTCCAACGCTGGCAGAGCAGGACTCGGAGGCTCCTCTCGCCTGAGCTGAGTTGAGGATCGGGCTGACCCTGGGAAGGAGGGCCAGGCTTGGGGATGGGAATCTAGACTTGCTGCCTAAGTTTTGCAGACCTGTTGAGAAGAAGCCAGGTGAAGATTTCACTGTATGAAAGCCACTTGGCTCTCTTCTTTGCAAGGTGAGGCAGAGCCAGGAAGAAAGAATTCCTGCCTCCCATTTAAGGCTCCTTCCCAGATTCCTGCACAGGCCTTCAGGGCAATTGGTAGAACCAGACGTGTATGCTGNGGGGGGGGGGAGAGAGAGAGCAGGTGCACCGTGGTCTGAGTACATTTCACACGGCCCTTGACTGTTGTGTAATCACTGCCCTGCATACCATCAGTCTTTCTAAAGGCAACATTTCCCTCTGCTCTTCTCATGAATCACTGATCCTTTTCATTACTGTCAGTTACTTTCCTTTTTTCTGTAAGAGCTTCAGGAGGATATAGGCAAGTCAGTCCCCTCCTTATCCAGGATCAGTTCCATCTTGTCTTTTCTCTAGTGAGCTCAAGGCAGGGTGTGAAGCTGTCCCTTTTACCTTCCCACTTTATCTTCATGGCTGCTCTGTAAGGTAGACCAGGCCTCAAAAGTCACCCTGCGAGTTACAATTTCCCTGTGAAGTAGATTGAGAGAGGGAGACTTTTCAAGATCACCTGGTAAGGATACCTCTGAACCATGGGCAAAGTCAATTCAATCAATCTGATCACACTGACCCAGCTACATTTTTGCTACACCTTGAGTTTAAGCTCACCTGGGCTTTCACTGTGTATTGAAGTATGTAGTTTTGTGTATTTCCAGTGCACTAATTGCATTGTTTTTGTGTACCTGAGCTTTATGGAGATTATAGTACGCAAACTATTGTGGCTGTCTAAATTAATATGTGGCTTCATCCACCCTTGGTTCGAGATTATGCAGTTGCCAGCAAGAGAATGCCTTGTATTAGACCCAACTACTGAGAATGCTCCAAATTCCTCCACTGTAGGAAAATTTTCTACGCCTCCTTTCTTCTTTTGCCCTGCAAGGCTTTTTGCCTCCTATGAAACTTATTTTCACAAGCACTGTGAAGATGGAGTTCCATAGCATGCCAGTTTTTTTTCCTCTTGCACTGTATTGGACTGAACTGATGTGAACCTGCCCCATAGGGCAGGAAAAAGCAGGTTGTCCTTTGGAGAGATGAGTAATCATGGATGCACTGTTTTGAGAAGGACTTCCTAGTGTCTATCACCAAAGAATTTCCAAAAGCCTGCATCACCAGCACTGGCAGTCTCCCCCCTGATTACAACCGAGACCTCCCAGTTTCATTTCCGTTAATCTGACTATGCTAGAATATGGGTCACCCATCACAGAGTCTGGCAGTGAATGAAGAGTGCGATCCTTCAGGCTTTGGATTGCAACTCCCATTGTTTCTCACCACTGGCTGTGTTGGCAAGGGTTAGTGAAAGTTCCAGTCCCAACAATATCTGGAAGATTGTGCTCTTTACGCATCCCAGCTGAACATGGAGTAACATGTCCAACCTCTGCCTCTGTTTTATGGATTGCCATTTTGTGTGAAACACAAACACTGCTTTGGCCCATTCTGACAGGACCAATTGTTTGAAAACAGAGGGGTGGATTTGGAGATAGACGTCTCTAACCAGACAGGGTTTCGTTCTGTAAAATTTTTAATTAAAACAAAAAGTGTGTGGAGCCCAATGTTGAGTCATGTACCTGTTCCTCCTGCCTAGTTTGGAACTGTACCACTGTTAATTCATACTCACTGGTAGGAATCATAAATAGCACCTTGGGGTGCAGATGATATAAGTAATGCTGGACAATTAAACCACAGGATTCCCTGCCCCCAAAACACTTGAATTTTGTAGACAGTTCCTAAATAATTTACTTGCTGCCTCAAATTGCCAGTGGCTCTCAAGACTGCAGCAATTGCGTTTGGGTGAGTGCATGTACTAAAATTAGAAAGCATTGCAGTGGCTGTCTTCTGGGTAGCCAGACATCAGCCTGTGTTAGTGTCATAATGGACTTCTGCAGGATAGGATCAGAATCTCCATGTTTGGAACAGCAACGGCTTGAGAAAATTTGTGTATTTGTTTTTAGCGACAACAGTAATAATTGCCATAGTTGCTAGGGAATTGTTGGAGAAATAGCCCGAAAAAGTAAAGTTTCTGAGCCATGGGAGCAGGATCATTACCACAACTGCAAGGGGGGAAGATAAAGAACTGATCCCCATACAGTGGTGCCCTGCTTGACGACGATAATGTGTTCCAGGAAAATCGCTGTACAGCGAAATCCTTGTCAAGTGAAAAAAAACCCAATTGAAATGCATTGAAAACCGGTCAATGCGTTCCAATGGGGGAAATCCCTGCTCGTCCAGCGAAGATCCTCCATAGGGGAAGCCATTTTGCATCGCTGTCTTCCGGAAATAGGTCCGGAAAACAGCAGGGAGCCATTTTGAAAACCCGACGATCAGCTGTTTTTAATCGTGGAGAAGCAAAAAATCGGTTCCCGAAGCAGGGAACTGATCGTCGTAAAATGAAAAAAAAAACATTGGAATCATTGTTTTGCGATGGGTAATTGTCAAGCGGGGCACCACTGTATAGTGGTGCCTTGACTTACAAACTTAATCCGTTCCGGAATGGTGTTCTTAAGTCAAATTAGCATTTCCCATAGGAATGCACTGAAACCCGATTAATTAGTTCCAGCTGTTTTTTTTCTTATGTCAAGGCACAGTTTGTAAGTCGAAGCATTAGTTCCCATAGGAACTAATGCAAAACCAGTTAATCCGTCCTCTATCATTAGGGGAATTTTTTTTAACCTAAAATGACTTAAGTTTTAAAAAGGGCAGGAAAGGAGGGAGACAGAGAGAGAAGACAATGGGGGAGGGAGAGAGTTTGGAGTCTAAAACACATGCTAAACCCACACATTTTACACCAACACATTTTAAACCAATCCAGCACAGACCCTTGCAAAAACTTTTCTGATTTGCAAGGGAAGCATGTAGGACCCATTGCAAATTTACAGAAAACAAATGGAGCAGATCAGAAATGCAAAGAGAACTAAGCAAGGGAAGCATGCAAGACACATCGAAAAAAGGGGAAAAAACCCCAAAAGCACACCAAGACTCATCAGAAATGGGAAAAAACACTCCAAAAAGCAACCAAACCCCCCATCGGAAATGGGGGGGACAAAAAACCAATAACCCCCAGACCCATCACAGCTCAGAAACATAACCCCCCCCAGCCGAAAACCATGCTGCAAAAATACCCAGAACAGTTTTTTAAAAGTATAAAGCAGCACCTTACCTTAGTAGGCAGCCTCCTTGGATTGCACACTCTAACTGCCAGGGCGAAAGAGTTACGAAGAAGCAGCCTTGTCGCCACCTACAGTCAGCTATTTGAATTTCCCACCCTTTCCCCTGCCTTTTTGTGTTTGCAAGTCAAAGCTCTGATTGCTAGTCAAAGCAGAATTATGTGAACGGAGCTGTTCATAACTCAAAATATTCATAGGTCAAGGTGTTCGTAAGTATGGGTCCTCTCTGTTTCACACCCACTTTTTTTTTTAAAAAAAGGAAAGAAATAAAGCAAGTGGACATCGAGATAGAATATCTTGTTTTTCTTTCTCTGCAGTTATGGATATTTTCCAGGTAGGAAAATTCTGAACATATAAATAGTGATAATTTTGGATTATAATCTCTAATGGATGGATCAGTGTATGGTTAGTATTGTGTGGACTTGGAAAGACTTCTGTCTTGAGTGACAGGTTCTGATGCAAGACCTGGCCTCATGATACCTTCCTGTGGGAGAATCTTTTGACTCTTCCCTCAAACTGTTCCTGACATTGTCATGCGGAATACATACATCTCCTTCTCCTTCCCCATCTCTTCATCAGTCTTGGTTAACAAGTTTCCCTCTTCTTATGCCATACTTTCTCCCACTTTGTGTATGTTTTGGGGATTGCTGTGCCTGATGGATAACTCCAGTTGTAGGCTGATGGCTCATGTTTGCTCCAGTTTGGGACCTTTAATCAGATCAGAGTGATTCAAAACATCTGCGATATTAAAGCCCCCTTAATTCTAAGCAACTTTTCAAGACACTTTCAGGTCTCTTACCTACCAGTATACTCCTGTGCTCTCTTGTCTTCTGAGCTGTCAGTGTCATAGCCCTTTATGTGCATCTAGGGGTGGAGTGAAGCCCTTGGTTGGCACCACACAACCTTCTGTTTTCCTGACTGCTGGTAACAATTTCCCTTCTAGATAGTCCTGGCCTCTGACTCAACATGACATCCTGCCTCACCCTGGAGGCAGATGTTTGCAGATTTTCAACTGTCACTACCAGTTTTCACTCCCAAGTTTGCATCTCTCTCTGCTGCTTATTCAGTGTTGGATCTATACATATCCAAGTATTCTAAACAAGTTGTTCAGTAGCTGAGAGAGTATTGCTGTGAATTTGCATCAGGGCATCACATATCTCCTGCTGTTTCAGTGCCCCATAGATTCATGTGTAAGCCACCCTGGTCTATGGCCTGTCTAGACAAGAGGAATCGTCAAAGCACAGCTGATGGGCCTCATTTTGTCCTCAAGAATGAGTCTGTTGTGAACTTGACCAATTAAATATGTTATGGCCATAAGGCTTGGCTCAAATTCAGTCCTGATACCTGTCGATAAAACTGCACATTGTTTAACTCAGGTTTCTTGGGAGCAAATGGGTTTCTGGTCTTGGCACCAAAACTAAATCTGAGTGCTTTGCATATACATAACATGAACGAGTTAGTGCTGGAAATTTCAGATGAGTCATAGACAAGCCTTGAAATAAGCAAGTCTCAACGATTCTGGCCAACCAGGAACTGAGAATGTTAGCTGAGTTTGAAATTGCGATGAAATCTCATCATAACACCTTTTTGGCACAAAAAAAAATCAGGATAATGAAAACTCATTTTGTGTTCCTGGCATGTTCCTGGTTTTGTTGCAATAGTCTAACCAGGGCTACATGGCTGAACAAAATAGGCCGTTGGGTATTCAGTGGAAATAACTCATTTTGATATATTTCCTCCCAAATATAATGTGCTTTTGTGGGGCTGAAACAAGAATGCCAGTGGTAAGAAATGATAAACACAAGGCTTAAAAAAATAGAGAATAACGAAGATGCCCATGTACTGGGCTTTGTGGCATCCTTTACAAGGGTGATCAGACTGTGGTCCAGTGTTTTAAATATTTTTTTTCCAATTTATTTTGCTGAGAAAGCCCCCTTGTATCCTGCAGATACAGTGGGAGGCAATTTTTCCATGTTTAGGGGTGCCTCTGTCTTTCTTTTGGGGGGCATTGGGGCATAAGGGTCCCCCCAATATTAAAACAAATAAAAATAAATCAGTATTGCAGTGTCATGGGGGTTTGGCTCTCTCAAGGTTTGGTGTGTGTGTGTATGGTTCTGTTGCTTGATCCTGCCATACTCTGTACTGTCTATGATAAAACAGTTTAGACCATCGTCTAGGTCTGGTGAATCATCGTGTGGTCCACTGCAGTCCATGGGGAGGTGAGGATTCCACTTTTTCATGGAAAGCAGATAACAGCAAACATGATATGGGGTGGAGCACACACTGCATTTAGACTGCTTAAAACCTGCTAGAAGCAGGGCAAGGCAGGGTATTGTGCCAGGTGGTAAAGAGGGCATCTCTATAAATGGTTAAATCTAATGGTGTTGCAGTGTCTTGCTAATAAAAGTGTCAGTTTAGTACTAGAGAGAGCATGTTCAAATCCCTGGTCACTCAGGAAGCGAACTGTATACTGTATGACCTTAGGCCAATTTCATTTCCCATCCCTTTCCCTTACCTTCCTCATTGGCTTGTTTTGGGGATGAAACGAATAGGCGCCAAATCTGCCCTGAGCTACCGGAAGGAAAGGATATACATCTGGCAAGAAGTAGTGAGTCTGTCAATGTAGCTTAGTCTGAACATGCAAGGATAGTAAGCAAACTGGTGCAGAGACCTTAAACTTACTACTACATGTATTTTATTAGAAATGCAGTTTATGGGCTCTTGCCCTGAAGTATATCTTGCTTCCTCCATCTGCTTTTATACTTCCGAGGCTGTCGTTTCTATGCATAGGGCTGGCCTATCGTTTCCCTCCCACCCGAAGCCAAAAAAAAAAAAAAAAAAGGTTCATGTGGAAGTTTCCTAGTAAACGAAGAGTAATTTGTATATCAGTATCATCAGGTTATGGAATCCAGACATGGAGAGGCCTCACCAAGCTTAATCCAAGTTCATACACTAGGCGAGGTTTTCTCAGGTTTTACTCTGAAATCCAAGGGACCTTATGACTCAATAGACAGCTGGACTTTAACTTCAGGCAATCAGTTGCACTGCCAGTTCCGTCATCCCTGCACATGGAGTGCTTTTCACCAGACCTTTTGATCCTTTTGTTTGTATCAATTTGTGTTGGTTTTTCTCTCTGAAGTAGACTTTGCACTTCATTGTCTACTGACCGACCTTCCATTCCTGATAATGCCCTTCTATTTCCAGATTCTATGATAAGACACAGGTATGATGTTGAAATTCCATGCTGCTGTCTCACTGCTTCCTACCAACCTCTGTTTTCAGCTTTTCTTCACTCTTAGTTTAAGCTTGTATTAATCTTTTAGGTTGGGTCCAAACTAAATTAGTTGACTGCAGTTCCTGTTGGTGTCGATGGGATAAGTTGGTGACTTGCTTCTCACTGAAACTGGTGGGGACAATTCTACACAACATGTTACCTTGATTTAAAGGGAGCCAGTTCGACTAATTTAATTTTGATACATCCCAAAGTGTTCTGAAAGCTACGAAAAAATAGGACAAGTTGATGCTTATGTCCCTAATGTCTGACTTGCATGCCTTTATTTGTATATTCAGAGTCCTTGTGAAAACCTTACAGAATCTGCTTCTATACCCAAACACTGGGTTAGCAAAAAAATTAATTGAGCAATGCACATTTTTTGTAAATTGACACTAAGCTTTTTTGGGGGGAGCATTATAGTATATTATGGGATCCATATTTGTAAAGGTTTATACTGACATAGTGCAAAGCATAATCATTAAACAATGAATATTAGCTAATGGGATTCTTGTGTATTTCCCCTCCCAGTGCTACAAGATGTCTCTCAAGGAAAAACTGATTGCAAATGTCCACAAAGATGAGCATCCCCATGCCCACAACAAGATTACTGTCGTTGGGGTTGGTGCTGTTGGCATGGCTTGTGCCATAAGCATCTTGATGAAGGTATGTTGATTTTGCATCATGTGCTACCCATGTCCAGACCACTGTGGTTATTGTCATGGTTGATCACACATGATTGGTCACACAATCCTCTTTACACAACAGATCACTGCTATTCATCCAGTGCATGGATTTGTGCTGACATGGAAGTGTTGTATGGTGATCTTTCAAAGACTGTACAGAAACAATTTCAAAAGTAGTACCCACCATGTGACTCATTTTCAAATAATCTGTGGCTCATCTGGGACTTCATGATGTGATCCTATTATCACAGCCGTGGTTCTTCCAACTTGTCCAGTTGTTCTCCTCAGATAGTCTTTCCAGAATCAGACTCTCTCTAAATGTGTTAAATTACAACTTCCATCATCCCCAGGCAGGATGGGAACCATAACTCAACACATCTAATCAGTACCAGGTTAGAGGATGTTTCTCATAAAATAATATTCTTAAAACAGTTATCGACTTTCAGGAAGCACTGCTCTCAGTGGGGCATAATGCCAACAAAATGTTCGGAGAGTAGTTTTTGTAAACTCCATGAACAAGCTCTATTTCTAAGGAGATCTAAGCTTTTGAGAAGTTATTAATAGCTTAATATCAATGTGCATTAACTTTTGTATTGTTATATTTTTCTGCAAAGAGATGTTGTATGTTCTTTTCATAGCCATTCATATAGATGTTGTGAGTGGATGCATCAGTGCTATTCAAAATTTCAGCGCTAGGTTGTCCCTGCTAGGTGGTGAGAACTAGGGATGTGCCATTCCATATCCTTTCCTGCTAGGTGGTGAGAACTAGGGATGTGCTATTCCATATTTTTAAAGAATATTTGTTTGTTTGTTTGTTTGCTTATTTGGACCCCAGGTCTCAGAATTCTCCCAAGAATTCCCCACCTATTGTTTGTTTGTTTGTTTGTTTGTTTGGACCCCACCTCAGAATTATCCCAAGAATTCCCCACCTACAGACACCTCTGTTTCACTCACCCAGACCAAGGCCTATCTGAGTCTTGCATTCTGTTGTTAATGTATAAAAAGGGAAATGACGACAGTGCTTCCTTGAGGTTACATTTCTTTAGTAGTTACCTTCTATAGAGCCCAAAGGACAGTGGGAGTACCACTTTTCACTCACCCAGACCAAGGCCTATCTGAGGTTGCATGACTATCTCAGTCTTGCGTTCTGTTATTAATGTATAAAAAGGGAGATGACGACAGTGCTTCCTTAAGGTTACATTTCTTGAGTAGTTACCTTCCATAGAGCCCAAAGGACAGTGGGGCTACAACTTTCAGGAAGTACTGCAGCAGCTTCCTTTTTTGTACATTAACAATAGGAAATCCAGGCCAGAGGAGGCCATGCAGCCGCCTTCTCCAGGTGAAGGAAAAGTGTAGATGTGGATCTGTAGACTGGAGCTCCCAGAAATCTGCCTGGTGAATTCTTGGGTTCAGAGTCCAAAGCAAAACAACAAACTAACTGCAAAGGGCACATTCCTACTTAGAACTTCACCAGCAACAATGATCCTTCATGCTGAACACGGTCTGCTATTCATGTATGGCAGGCAGTTCATCAAGAGTTCAGTAAACCTCCAAGCCCTGGCAGGCCACTCTGAGAAGGCTGTCTGCCTGTTTTTGACTTAAGCGCTGTGGATTTGCAAGGGGCAGTGCTAGAGTCATGGAATTCTAGCCAGCAGAAATTGGGAGATTGATGTGTGTTTAATTTCTTTTTCTTTATTTTTTTGTAGGATCTAGCTGATGAACTTGCCCTTGTTGATGTTGTGGAGGATAAGCTAAAGGGAGAGATGTTGGACCTTCAGCATGGTAGCCTCTTTCTCAGGACACCAAAGATTGTCTCTGGCAAAGGTTAATGTTGCTCTCTATTATAGACCACCATTTTAGACGCTGAAGTTACCGTAAGAAGGTTCTTTTTTAACTGAAGGGAATGGTTATGCTTGTGAACTTGAATACTATTCCTTCCTTGCTTGGATGTTGCTGAAAATGGTGTTGCTTGATCTTCCCTTTCTTATGAGTGTTCATTGAACTAGAGAAGAGAGCAGCTGATCTAGCCAGCTGTGGATCTGCAGCTGTATATGGAAAACCCTTGTGAGTTGCAGTTCCTGTGTGTTGGCATTCAAAGTAAAAAGTTGATAAAAGGTAACAGTGTTGGCCAGTTGCAGGGCCCGTGTATTTATTGCCATGCAATCCAAGACCTAGTGAGTTGCTGTGTAGAGAAACTTTATGTCTTGCCTGGTATAACTGCTGTCAGGGCATCTCTTTCCTTCATTTCCTGACCTCTGCCCTGTCTGTGATAATGTTTTAGTTGACAGTACATTAAAATAGCATTTAATGACTAAGAGAAATGTACTCCCCTCCCCATGTCCCAGTGATATCTATAGAGAGCTGAAAATTATGGCTTCAGTTGTGGTTGTTGCTTCCATTCTCTTTCCATACTGTTGAGAACTGTAGCTCCTGTTGGGACTCAGGCCTTGCATAAAATCAGCCACATGCATTGTGCTGTTATTACAAGGAGTTGGTTAAAAGCAAAACTGTACACAAAGCTTTCACTGGACAGGAATGTTGGGGAGGGGTGAGTGCATGGTGTTGTAATAGCTGCTTCTATGTTGCGTCACACAAGGGTGTTTCAGAGTGAGCCAGTTATATCACTGTTAATTTTCCAAACATGATTTTGGCATAGAAACACAACTTCAAGGAACCATGAGAATCTTTAAGCAATATTTTGGAAACAAGATTCTAGCCTCTGTTATAGAAGCGAAGCCTTGAAGGCAGTTTCTGCAGCTAGGAGTAGGATCTGTATGGAGCTCCAGATAATACATTCCTGTAGTTCAGTCAGTCAGTGATCAACTTGAATACACAAAATTCTGTATCTGTAAACCTACTTCTGCTTTCTAGATGTGTCACAGGGATGTGTGAATCTAGACTAGAGACACATGGTGAGCTATATCGAATAAATGCAGATTTTTAATAATTATTATTTGCAGATTATGCTGTAACTGCCCACTCTAAGCTGGTCATCATCACTGCTGGAGCCCGCCAGCAAGAAGGCGAGTCTCGTCTTAATCTGGTTCAGCGCAATGTGAACATCTTCAAATTCATCATTCCTAATGTTGTCAAGTACAGCCCTGACTGCAAGCTTCTGGTCGTCTCCAATCCAGGTTGGTCATTACCTGCTCTGACTGCTCATGGAGCAAAGGGTATCTGTTTCCACAAAAGAAACTGAAAACCTTGCATTCTGTTGCTCACAAGTGATACAGTAGGTGATAAAGCCCTGATAGCAGTTCAGTCTGCATTTGCAAAACTTTGTAAGGCTGCTGAAGGTGGACCATGTTTTCCTAAGGGGCTGGAGGTTTGTCAAGATCTGAAAAGGGATTTCCCAGCTTTGATTTTATTGTATTTAAGAGAGATTTTGGCACAGGAATGTTAATATTTCAATGCTAATCAGAAGTGGGCATCGTGGTTTGATGCTGGGTTTAGGTTATGGTTAAATAAATGGAAGCTACAATATGTTGTGGTGTGGAGTGGTTCTGTTCAAGACACCAGATAGGTCATTCCATTTGCCATAATTCACAGACTTCTCCCTTTCTCTTGGCACCATTTTGTGACCATTGGCCATGCTCAATCCTGAATGAATTGAGGTCCCACCCCTCAAAGGTCTTTCTTACTAAAAATTCCTAAGGTCAGTCATGGCCTACTCAAATATATTGATTTTGAGGGATTTACTCTTTAAGTGTAATGAAGTCTGGATCCCATCCATTATCCTTCATATGACAGACACATTTTAATCAAGTACTTTTTCCTATCAACAGTGGACATTCTGACCTATGTTGCATGGAAGATTAGTGGCTTTCCAAAGCACCGTGTTATTGGAAGTGGTTGCAATCTGGACTCTGCCCGTTTCCGCCACTTGATGGGTGAAAGGCTGGGGATCCACCCTCTCAGCTGCCATGGCTGGATTGTTGGAGAACATGGAGACTCCAGTGGTGAGTGTGAAACCCCCCTCCGCACCAAGCCCTTTCTCAGAGGATGAAAACCAGTATTATGTATTTGTTCACTAATGACTAGTGTGGGTTTCTCCAAGCTGGGGCTCTCCCATTATTCACAGCTACAAACTACTTCCATATTCATAGCAGGTGTTGAGAAGGTCTGGAACATATGTGGAATAGTTGGGTTTGCACTATTAGCCAGGCAGATGCAACATGTTACCTGATGAAAAGTGAGGGGGAATTCCAGCCACTGCACATCAGATTTGCATGAGCTGGACAGAGCAGAAGAAAATTTTCTCTATCTCTCAGCATGAAAGCCCATCTAGCTTTTCCTGCTGCATAAAGGTAACACTAGAGGATCTATATTTGACTTGGCTAGTTCTGTTCAGAAAAGGTCAGCTCTGTAATCTAAGTAGGCCAAACCCCACCAGGCTGAATTCTGCCCTTTACTCTTAACAGAGGAGTTCAGAATAAATCCCTTCACGTAAAAGTCTCTTGATAGATGCAGTTCTGTAAAAGGCCTTTTTAAAATAAGATATCTTTTTGTATCTCTGATATCCTATGTTGAGGAACTAAAATGCTAAGTCAGTCTTCCTCAAAGTAACTATCAAGGATTGACAGATACAAAGTGGGAAACAGCTCCAAGTTTTCTGGAGTCCAGGGCTGCTATTTTTCTGAAAATAGCATTTCAGGGTTTATCATAGCCCAGATAACAAGCTATCCTTTCCTTGCCCAGTTGCTAACGTTGCTCTTAGTAAGCAGTTCTGGCTCATCTCGCCCCCCCCCAGCCCCATTATCTAAAAACGTTTACTTTCAGCAATGCAAGAACGGGTCCTGCTGAATCAGACTAAAGTCTGATCTAGCACTTGTTCCTATAGTAGCCAAGAAGAGGCCTCTGGAAATTTTATCAGTAAGACATGGGTGCAATAGCACCCTATCTCTCATGTTCCCAGCAATGTATTGTGAGAGGAATAGTGATGCTTTCTATTGTGTTTCCTGAAAATATGACAGGGTCTTATATTAATGTTTGCTCCAAAAAACACATTAGGGCTTATTTTCAGGAGATGCTTAATTTTTTTCATGTACGATCTACGTTTATTCAAATGGGGGAGGACAGGGTTTCACTTAACTGATGCTTATTTCGGGATAGGGCTTATATTACAAGCATCCTGAAAAATCATACTAGGGCTTATTTTCGGGTTAGGTCTTATTTTCGGGGAAACAGGGTAGATTGCCATAATAACTGATGCCCATTGATGATATAGGAAACTTGTAGAATCCCTAATCCTTGACACCTAGCATGGGATGTGATACAGCACATCCACTTCTGCTGAAACATGAGCTCCAACTTGCCTGTCTCACTCCATATTTGTCATATTTGAGACAAGGTACAGGTTACAGACAAGCAGGTTCCTGGGCTTGCTCATGGTATCTCTTCCACTTAATAATATTTGATGCCCAATGACGTTATCTTACCTATATTGTCCCAAGCCCATATTCTTCTGTACCTCTTTCCTGCTCACAGTTGCATCCATAACAATTAAGTACTGCTTCTGCCCTGTTTCCCCAAAAATAAGACTTAACCTGAAATAAGCCCTAGTATGATTTTTCAGGATGTAACCAGAAGACGATGACAGGACTATATTTGAATAAATGTAGATAGTTGTACATGAAAATAATTAAACATCCCCTGAAATTAAGCCCCAATGCATTTTTGGGAGCAAAAAATAATATAAGACCCTGTCTTATTTTCGGGAAAACATGGCACAATTCTATTTCAAAGTGTAAAAATTATTCTGTTAAAGGCCCACATTTCTCACTAGTGACACTAAGCAAAAAAGTAATTTGCCACTTGTTTGCCTGAAATGGGCAGTAATTCCTGCCCCCAAAGCATTCAAACAATTTATTCAGGTTTGTTCAGCAAATATTCAGCAAATAGTTTTGCTTTTGTAATGCTTAGTAACTATTCAGTTTCAAAGGACAGCAATAGGATAGCCATTACCTTTTCCTTCCTGGGGTTCTAAGTGAAGAGGAACAAAATGGTGGCTAATATGAGGCAGAAAGGAAAGAAGAAGAAGATTAGTATCTGTTGTGTCTTTAGGCTGATGGAGGGCTGGGTAAGTGTGTTTTGCTGTCCTTTCACTGTCCTTGCACAGAGAAAGGTGAATGGAGAACAAAGCTGAATAAATTCCCACAGGCACCACTATTCTTCCCAGTGATTTCCAGAGGGAGTCCCACATGCCTACCCTGGTGTTGCATATTTCCAGCTGGAAGTGATTGCAAGTTTTAGTTCTATATCAAGACTAGGTGGGTGGAAAATCAACCAACCAGCCAACCAAGTAATGTGATTTGTATTCTGAAAGGTGGGAAAACTTGCACCAATTTGTTCCATTTTTTTTTCTTTGTTCAGTGCCTGTCTGGAGTGGTGTGAATGTTGCCGGTGTCTCCCTGAAAGGTTTACATCCTGAAATGGGGACTGACAGTGACAAGGAACATTGGAAAGAGGTCCACAAGCAGGTGGTAGAGAGGTAACATTTTAAACTCCTGTGAATTAGTAGATGAGTGCCACAGCAGTTTACCAAACTGTCCAATGTTCTGTTTAAACAATGATCTACATTGTTTATGTTAATGTTATGTTAATAAAACAGCTACCAAATTTGGATCTCACTGATCAGTGACTACATTTCTTGTTATTTACTAAAGCAGTGGTTCTTAACCTTGGGTTACTCAGGTGTTTTTGAACTGCAACTCCCAGAAACCCCAGCCAGCACAGCTGGTGGTGAAGGCTTCTGGAAGTTGCAGTCCAAAAACACCTGAGTAACCCAAGGTTAAGAGCCACTGTACTAAAGAAATAAATTGTGAATTTGGAGAAACTTTGGTTTGATTGTGGGGCAGGGGCATTGCTATTTATATGTTTAAAGAATGTACCTATTTGCAAACGTTTGATCTTGGGACTGGAATTTATACAGCTAAGAAAGTAATAATTTTTTTAAACAAATGCTAATAAATGCAAGAACCCAAGTTGTGCAGCAGCACAGATGAGATACAGAGTTAGAAAAAGAAAATCAAAAACATGCTTAAATGAAGCCCAGGATGGGTGGCTGACATGGTGGTTTAGCAGGCATAGGGTAATATCCTATTCAGTATGGAGGGGCAATATTGTGTTAGTTCTGCTCCAGCTGGCCCCCTGCCACATGGCCAGTCATGCAGAAAGGAAGCTGCTGAGGTGGGAGGTACACTTACATAATTGCCCTTCCGCTATTCCTGAATTGGAGGCTAGCTGTAATTTCTGAAAGACCACAGTCAGGGGTACCAAGGCTGCTTTTGCTGACAGTCTAATACTTTTCAATATCATCCTCTGCAGTGCTTATGAAGTTATCAAGCTGAAGGGATACACCTCTTGGGCCATTGGGCTCTCTGTGGCCGATTTAGCTGAAACCATAATGAAGAATTTAAGGAGAGTACACCCAGTTTCTACAATGGTGAAGGTAAGGCATTATGATCTGTGATTTGAACATTGAGCCCAAATTTCCAAGAATACTTATTAATGTTCTAGCCCCATTGTTTTCTTGTCCCTCCCCACCCTTGAGAAAACAGTTGGTTCATGCAACAGCAGTTTTACTGTTTTAAAATAAAACTTTTTAATGGTAAGAAATATTTGAATAAATGCTGGCAAATTGACCATTTACTTCTGTTTATTATATACAGTGGTGCCTCGCATGACATTAATTCGTTCCAGCGAAATCACTGTAGAACGAAAACGTCGTCATGCGATTTTAAAAAGCCCATAGAAACACATTAAAACCAGATTAATGCGTTCGTAATTAAAAAATCATCGCTTTGCGATGATCGGTTCCCGAAGCAGGGAACCGATCACCGCAAAGTGAAATTCCCCCATAGGGAACATCGTTTTGCGATTGCAAAAACATCAACGTCAAGCAATTTCGTTGTCGAACGGAGTGCCCGTCTTGCGGGGCACCACTGTAGTACATATTACACAGATATTTCAGATTTACTTTAGATCTTGAGACATAAAGGACCTGGACTGAATGGTACAGTTCCCTTGATGGAAGCAGTTCTGTCAACAGATCTGCATCCCCAAGTCCTGCACCAGAGGGCTGGAGAAAGAGAAAAGAATTCCTGATAGTTGCAATGAGAGGTTGAGAAGGGGCGATTGTTCTTAATGCCAAATGTGCATTTTGTTGTACTGGATGAATAACAAAGCTAACAGTATAAGGAATGGCAACTTAATGAGCCTGATTGACGAAGTCCATATCGTTGAGCAGGGGCCCTGATGTTTGCCCATCGTGGACAGAAGCTACTTATTGGAAAACAGAAGAAAACAGCTGGCAAATCTGCTCTGTCTGGAATTTTTCCATGTCTTCTCCCTGCCTGGGCTGGTGTTTCTTATGAATGGAAAAAGAACGTTCGTTATAGGCAAACTGACATGCTTTTTTTATTAACTTCTGACTTTTCAATGTTCTCTTTTCAGGGTATGCATGGGATTAAGGATGATGTCTTCTTAAGTATACCTTGTGTGCTGGGCTATTCTGGCATTACAGATGTGGTAAATATGACTCTGAAGAGTGAAGAGGAAGACAAACTGAAGAAGAGTGCAGATACACTCTGGGGGATCCAAAAGGAACTTCAGTTTTAGTCCTGGTGTCCTTGTCACGTCACTGCTTACTAGCGTTACTTGGGTCCTAGCAAATAGTTTTGTTGCACTTTGCAAGTAGGTCAACTCCTTTATGATGTGTATGAGCTAATACAACACACAATACAGCTAAAATTACACTCAATTTTCCCATCCAGTAGGAAACTTGCTGCTCCTGTGGTTCACAATATAGAGTTGCAGTCAGAACTAGATTGTAACTTTGTCTTGCTGAGTGGTGTAAAAGAAGCCGTGAAGCAACATTGCCGAAGGAGCCTTTCCCTGGCTAAACTTAATCTCACTGCAGAAGAACACAAGTTGGTCTGCCAAAAACTCTAGAAAGAAACCAAAGAGTATCTTGTAATCAAAAAGCATTGAAAAATACACTGACCAGTATTCTCTGCTGATAGTAACTTAAAATTTTCACTACTGAGCAGCTCTAAATTTATTTTTTTCCAGACACGACTGCTTTTCAGATCTGTGTGCAAACTTTAAGAGAAGCTTCTGTATTCTCCCAGAGTAGTTGTCTTAAATGTAAAGTGAAGAAAACTTCTGTGTGCAACAATTACAACTGATGAAATTGCCCAACTGTAGTACCTGCCCAATGAATAAAATAAAACAAACCCTTGCTACTTTTGTCTCTGTGGTCTGTAAAAAGCATTAATGGAGTTGAAATAATTCAAAATCTATGCAGAAATATATATTGTATTTGATGCTAGCTTTAATATCTGGCTATTTAGGATAGAGTGCATCACTTACAGTAGGACAGTATATATAACAAAAATGGAAAGGAATAATGTTGGCTACTATGTGCTACTGTACCAAGTTCGAGGTGGTTTTTTTTTTCTATTTTTGACTGGACAACCAACATATCACCTTGCAGACCAGTGCAGTCACTAAGATCATCAGGAGGTGGTCTGCTGGTCACTTCATACTGCAGATGGCTATATGGTAACAATATGGAAGTGAGTCTTCTCCATAGTTTCCCCGCTTCCCCCCCAGTCTTTTGACATCATTTCCCATATTCAGGAGACATGGCCTGACATACGCTTTATGTACCTGTTAAAACCCAGGTGTTCCTTCACAATGTGGTTCTCAGTTGGGAGAAATGTGGCGCTATGTGGAATGTCTGAACTGATAATTGCTCTCTGTTTTATGTATTTGCTTATCCTGCCCTATATCAGTGGAAGGGCTATTTAAAGTTTGGGAACCACTGCATTAGCTATAGAAGTGACATGAAAAGGAACTAATCTGCCAATTGTGCCCAGTTTTTCCTGAGATTTTACAAACCAGTCTCAGATAGAAATAGACATCTTTATGCCCATCGTTTCTCCTGAAAAGAAGAAAGCTAACAAGCTACAGCTACTTTCATTTCCTATTTGTATCTGAATTCTGTAGACTGAGAAGCAGAGTTGGGTAATGCCATTGTTGTACTACCAAAATATTAAAAAGAAATAAAGAGTGGGGACTAAGCTTTTAATAATTCAGAACTCTGTCAGACTGGAGATTACAAAATATATCCAGCTGTTCTGGCCATGGGAGCCAGAACAATTCCAAAATGAAGCCTACAAGCTTAGAGAACCAGCTTGAGACTGGCTATATTTCTAGTATTGAGAACCAACTGCCAGTGTGCATCCCTAGACAAAGGCTTGCACGCCATCAGCAAATTCCATTCATTGCCTGACATAAGGCATAGAAGCACTAAGTAACAGGGCAATTGCTGTATTAGTAATGATAGAGATTAGTGCTACATTCAGCAAAAACAGTCAAACCATACTACCTAGTGTTTGCAGTTACTATATGAGCCATATTCAGTAATCAGAATACCTGCTTTCATCTGCACATTTAAGAAGGGAGCTCCCAGCCCCCTCTTTCTTTTCCTACATGTAGTCAGCAACATCAACATTGGCTTGGACATGTCAGAATGGTTGATGGTCGGATTCCAAAAGATCTCCTGTGTGGAGAATTAGTGCAGGGAAATCGCTCCAAAGGGAGAGCACAGCTGTGATACAAGAATCACAAACAGGATCTGAAGGCCTTAGGAATGAACCTCAACAGATGAGAAACCTTCACATCTGAGCGTTCAGCCTGGAGGCAGGCGGTGCATCATGGTCTCTTCCCATTTTGAAGAGACATTTGTCCAGCGGGCCGAGGCAAAGAGGCAGTCCCGAAACCAGCAAAATCAGGGAGCTGGACAGGGGACAGATTGTATTTCTCTTCAGTGTGGAAGAGATTGTCACTCTCAAATTGGCCTCCTCAGCCACACTAGACGCTGTTCCAAGTCATCCATTCAAAGCAAGTTACCATAGTCTCTCGAGATTGAAGGATGCCTAATTTAAAAGTTAGTGGGTGCCCTATAGAGAAAAGTTGCTGTTTATGTGCAGGCTCCTCAGTAACCATGTGTAGATACTGGCAGAGGTGGCACAGCTAAGTCATCTTAAGTGTGTGGCTGGAAGGTTTACTAATGCTTGCATAGGGCTACAACTTTTAATGTAGTGCAGTTCCGCTTAAAATAGCAAATGGACAGTTTTAACTGGGAACCTTCTCTTCATAGCTGAATATCTGAGCCAGATGACTCAACTATTGAGCACAATAATCTGGATGAGATAGGGAACTGTGATTTTAATTGATAAATTCAATTAACAGAACCCACAAATTAGCACCAGACTACAATTTTAGGCACTCTTACTAAGAATTAAGCCCACTGAACAAAGGTGGCAAGTACGTACAGGATCAGGCTGTGCAACAAATTCTCTGAATAACAGAACCACAATTTATCCCCTACAAATCTCCACTTTTATTATAAATTAATCTTAGAAGTACACAGATAAAATATTCAGCATCCTACAGGCGTTAAAGCGCAGAAGTGGTATGTACTGCACAAATGTCTATAGCACAAGAGAAGGGTTATGCAACAAATTTTATTCACCCACTAGCTCAGCAATGCAAAAAGGTTTACAGAGAATAGAAAGTGCATTAATAAAAGCTAGTCCTTACCAAAAAGAAGCAAAAGAAAATATATTATCCATTCAAAATATGTTACAATTGAATGATGTAATAACTTACTCTGCCCACCTACTGATTAAAAGAAAAATATGATCGCTTGATGTAGACCGTTCTTACATATGCCAGGGGTTAGTAGAGGTCACTGAGTCCTGCAGTCTTTCTTGCTTTCTGCATAAGTGCCCTCAGTTGGAATTGCTTGCGAGACAAGAGACGGACATGCTGAGAAGAGATCAGACAAGGACACAGTAAAAATCACTTCAGCCTGACACAAGTTCTGTATTTTATATGGACATATCCACTTTGATCAGAAAACTTCTCTATTGAAAGAGATGCTGAGAATTGTGGATTTAGCTTTAAAATAACCCTACTCAGAATTCTGTAATCAGAATCAAGATTCAGCATCAAGCTAGCCCTATCTGCGAGTTTGGTTCCATTTCTGTCAGATCATGAAGGAATGCTGAAAATTTGTTTTATATACCCACTAGGCCCAGACTATATTGGTTCTGACCAAATGTCTGAGCAAATAAATTCAGCTCTTAAAAATGTGTAAGTTTTTGTAATGGGGGCAGGGTGCAGAATTACCATATTTTTCTGTGTATAAGATGCCCCCTTGTATAAGACGCTCCCACTTTAATTTTTTTATTAGATTTCAAACCTAAAATGTATTTCATTGCAAGAAAGTGGAGGGGGAAAGCAGGGATCAAAGCGCTTTGATCCCTCCCCCCTCCTTACTTCCATGTATAAGACCTTCAATTTTTAATCTAAAGATTTTAGATAAAAGTATCGTCTTATACACGGACGGTATATGTTATGAATCTCCTTGAAATCAAATTGTGCTGCAAGTCGAAAAGTCTGTAGGTCGAATCTCCATTGACCTACAATGCATTGAAAACCAATTAATCCCATAACTGGCAGTTTTTATTCTATTTTTGTTCCATTTTGGTTTTTTTCTGGTCTGTAAGTCGATTCTCCAGCTGCAAGTCGAATCTAAATTTTGCGGCCAGAGAAGTCTGTAACTCGAAAAGTCTGTAAGTCGAGCCGTCTATAAGTCGAGGGTCCACTGTATTTCATTAAGATTTAAGACTGGACAGATGGGATAAAGGAAATTAATTATTGGTATCAAGAAACTACTATGAATTTTGCAGTTGTAAGGATCAGGCACAGAACAGACGCGTGGAGAACAGGGAAAAACATGGAGAAAAGTGGGTACAGAACAAACAGGAAAGCAGAAAATGAGATCACTCCATTGCATACTGTTATATCTTCCTGTTTCACTGAACTATAGCTTTGCTTATGATGTCAGAGATGGGAAGAATAACATTTTGCATTTCAAAATGTTTCTTTCATTACAACTTATATCTCTGAATATTTCATCAAACCTACCTTTAGAAAGATGTCAAGATCTATCACTCCACGTCTCAAAGCTTCACCCAGATAAAAGATGGTATCTTCAATGGCATTCTCCTCAGCATACAAGTTCAGAATCTGTTTATAAAGTGGTGCAGTTGGAACAATGACTTCGTCTATGTCATTATTTTCTGACTGGCTTTCCATTTTTTCCAAGGCAGAACTCAATTCTTCATCTTTCTTTTTCAGGAGGTCAATGTTCTTGTCAACTTCAGCCTGAAACAGAAAGAGAAGTCAATACATTTATCTATTTTTTTAAAAATTATATCCTGACTTCAAATGTCTAAATTTCACTTAATACAAGTGAATCTCATTGCACATTATTCTGAAAACATATATTTAAGAAGCAAAATTACCAGTTTCAACTGTGTTAAAAAAGGAAGTACTATTGAGTTCAGTAGTACTTATATCCGGGTGAATGAATATACAATGGATTTCAGACTAAAAAAAGTAACTCTAAACAAGGACATTTATCCTCATCTTTATCTCCCACACATCTCTCACCTTCTCTCTCTCTCTCTCTCTCTCTCTCTCTCTCTCGTATTTACTTTAACTTCTTCCACCTACTCAAAATAAACTTACAAAATACAGAACATGAAGCAGAACAGGAACAGAAAAGAACAGGCACAGAAGATAAAAAGCAACATTTTGCAGAACTTAGAAAAATAATTTTGGACCACAGTCTCCAGAATCTGCTAGCCAAACTGACCAACTGGGGGATTCTGGGAATAGTTATTTTAAAAAATTACTCTGACCTTTACCACCTTCCCTTAAAAGGTTCTTGGCTTCTAGTATTCATGACCAAGGGCTGCAAATTTAGCTGCTCGATGGCAGTGTCATCCACCCTGGCTGTACACGGTGTGTGGTGTGTGCTTGCTGTGCACAGATACATCAACCCCTCCACAATTTTAAGTCTCTCAGGCCTAAAAATATGGCAACAATCAAAGTTGTAACTTCACTCAATGGCTAAACAAAACAAAAGTAACCAATGTATTTCTTGCAAAACTGTAGTCCTAAGCTAAGTAGCACAGCAGATGTAATGAGTTGGTCCATATTTACGCCTCAGTATTTCAGTATTTTAGGATTCTTCATGACCCTACGATCCCTTTCCTAATCAATCAACATTACCTTAAAGGTTACTTTTTTTGCCTATATGTATATTATTTATATTTAACATCTTTACCATGTTTGTATTGTTAATGGCAATGCGCACGTTGCA